CGGGGACGCCCCCCCGGCCCCCCCGGCCCCCGGAGGCCCCGCCCGGTGGTGCCGGTCCCGGGACCGCCGGTGAGTCACGGCCGTGACTCAGCCCCGCCACAACAGCGTCGCCAGGCAACGGCGGGGGGGGGCGGGGGGGGGGGACCCCCACCCTTAACGGGGACCACCGAGCCATAGTGGGGCTCACAGACCCGAACTGGGGACCACCGACCCATAGTGGGACTCACAGACCCGAATTGGGGACCACCGACCCATAGTGGGACTCACAGACCCATAGTGGGGACCCCCCCCCCCACACGGGGGAGCCCCGACCTATATCGGGGACCCCCGACTCATATTGGGGACTCACAGACCCGAATTGGGGACCCCCGACCCATACTGGGGACCCCCGACCCTTATTGGGGATTCACAGACCTATAGTGGGGACCCCCGACCTATATTGGGGAACCCTGACCCGTATCATGGACCCCTGACCCATATGGGGACCCCCAACCCATATCAGGGACCCCTGACTCATATGGAGGCCCCTGACCCATATTGGGACCCCTGACCCGGACCCCTGACCCATATGGGGACCCCTGACCCATTATGGGGACCCCTGACCCAGACCCCCATTATGGGGGCCCCTGACCCATTATGGGGACCCCTGACCCGGACCCCTGACCCATATCAAGGACCCCTGACCCATTATGGGGGCCCCTGACCCATTATGGGGACCCCTGACCCGGACCCCTGACCCATATCAAGGACCCCTGACCCATTATGGGGACCCCTGACCCCTATTGGGGACCCCCTGGCCCACATGGCGCTCGCAGTCCCTGCCAGTGCCCCTCGCCCAGTGCTCCCAGTTTGCCCAGTGCCAGGGCACACGACTGTGGTGCCATGTGTGTGCCGTGCCGGCGTCACCCGTGTCACTGCCATGTTGTGCCCTGTTCCACACCAGCGTCACCCGTGTCACTGCCATGTTGTGCCCTGTTCCACACCGGTGTCACCCGTGTCACTGCCATGTTGTGCCCTGTTCCACACCAGTGTCACCCATGTCACTGCCATGTTGTGCCCTGTTCCACACCAGTGTCACCCATGTCACTGCCATGTTGTGCCCTGTTCCACACCAGCGTCACCCGTGTCACTGCCATGTTGTGCCCTGTTCCATGGTGGTGTCACCCGTGTCACTGCCATGTGGTGCCCTGTTCCACACCAGTGTCACCCGTGTCACTGCCATGTTGTGCCCTGTTCCACACCAGTGTCACCCGTGTCACTGCCCTGCCCTGCCCTGCCGTGCCGTGCCGTGCTGTGCTATTCTGTGCTGGTGTCACCCATGTCAGTGCCGTGCCAGTGTCACTCCTGTCGCTGCCATCCCTGCCCTGCCGTGCCCTCCCGTGCCGTGCCGGTGACACCCCTGTCACTGCCATTTCTGCCGTGCCATGCCATGCCGTGCCATGCCATGCCGTTTCACACCAGTGACACCCCTGTCACTGCCATGCCGTGCCCTCCCGTGCCGTGCCGTGCACTCCCGTGCCGTGCTGTTTCACACCAGTGACACCCCTGTCACTGCCATCTCTGCCATGCCGTGCCGTGCCGTGCCGTGCTGTTTCACACCAGTGACACCCCTGTCACTGCCATGCCGTGCCCTCCCGTGCCGTGCCGTGCACTCCCGTGCCGTGCTGTTTCACACCAGTGACACCCCTGTCACTGCCATCTCTGCCATGCCATGCCGTGCCGTGCCGTGCCGTGCTGTTTCACACCAGTGACACCCCTGTCACTGCCATGCCGTGCCCTCCCGTGCCGTGCCGTGCACTCCCGTGCTGTGCTGTTTCACACCAGTGACACCCCTGTCACTGCCATCTCTGCCATGCCATGCCGTGCCGTGCCGTGCCGTGCTGTTTCACACCAGTGACACCCCTGTCACTCCCATGCCCTCCCGTGCCATGCCCTCCCGTGCCGTGCCGTGCCGTTTCACACCAGTGACACCCCTGTCACTGCCATCTCTGCCATGCCATGCCGTGCCGTGCCGTGCCGTGCTGTTTCACACCAGTGACACCCCTGTCACTCCCATGCCCTCCCGTGCCATGCCCTCCCGTGCCGTGCCCTCCCGTGCTGTGCTGTTTCACACC